CAGAGCTGGGAGACAGGAGTTCCTGGGTTTGCATATCAGTTCCACAGAGGACTAGCCAAGTTCTTTTCTGGCTCTGTCACCAGGATATTTGAGGGCTTCACAAACGTTGGTGCATTTACATTTCCAACACCCCAGTCAGGTCAGGAAGTCTCATCCCTGCTCCATAATCAAGCAGCTGAATCACAGAAAGATTAAGGGTTTGGTTTTTCACACATGCGAACAGCTCCATTTGCACTGGAGAGGAGCTGCCAGTGTCCTGCCAAGGTGGCTCAGACTGGGGGCCCAAACATTGAAAGTCCCAAAACTCAGAGGTTGCTTTTGAAGAGGCTGGACTAAGTGGCTTGCCCACGGACACACAAGAAGTCACTGGCACAGCTGGGAACAGAACCCATGAGTGTCCAAATCTCCTACATGACTTTACAAATCCCTCCCCAGTTCTCCTCCAGTAACTGAAGGCTTAGCCTAGATTAAAGCAAACAAGAATTTGCCCATCAAGCCATGAGTTGCACCCATGACACTTTGTCACTGGCCATGTGACCCATTCAACATAGCTCAGCAGGGCTCAGCGAACATTTCCCTCCAGATAACTGTAGATATTTCAGTTTTGGGCTCTTGCTGTCTGCCACGTGGAATCAGTAAAAGCTGTGAAACTAAGAACAGATTGGGAAGACACTAAAGAAAACATTTGAAACATATTTCCATCCCTTCCAGCATCTCTGCCTCATAGATTCTCCATCTGTTCCCAAACCTCAGCTGATAAGTTTTATTTCTGCACCGCTCTGTATTATTTAGCTCTGTCTGGCATTCTGAGATGGGCAGAGTGGGCGTGAAAGATGTATGACACTGGGTTCAGATACCAGTTGCTGCTCCCTCTGGAGGAAACCTTGCCCTGGACCACAGTGGGGGCATAGTGAGAGAGCTAATCGTGCCTCCTCCCTCCCTGTAGCTTTCTAGCACTCACTGACACCCCAAGGCTGGGACATCTAATAAGGTGGCTGCTGCTCCATAGGCCCAGTGAGATGTGGTCCATCATGGGAGGGGTAATCAGGCCCCCAGCCCTTCAGAAATTATGCAACAGCCTCCCACATGCAAAGGATGGGTAGAGAAGCAGGAGGGAAATGATGGTATGAGCCGCCAGCTTGATAGCTCAGAGATCCACCAAGCTCTAAGCACATTCCATTTCCTGTCCCGTGTAGGGACTATGCGTATGCGTAAGGGCTGGATTTCACCGGCTACATTCTGATAAGCTCACCTTTGTTTTCTGTCTCCCCATCTATCGCTCTAACCTTCACATGACTCATTTAGTGATCAGAGTTCTCCATCTCCTCTGCCCCATGGATGACAGCCCAATCGTATTAATCTCCCATGCAAGCCATATGCAGCATTTAGATTATTTCTTCCCTGCCTTTGCTCCAGATTGACAGGCCTGGAGCTCTTTAATCTCCAGGCTGAAGTGAATATTTGATCTGTGGATGAGGCTGAAGGTTGTACATAAAAACGAATTATATATTAAATGAAAGAAAGGAGAAATAGCACTGAGAGTTCTCCCCAGTGTCCTATGTGCCTCTGGCAAAAAATTCATACTAGACCAAAATATGTCGCAGCCCCTAACTTTGTTTAGTCACATCGAAAGAAAAATATCAGACTAGTTAGAGCTAGCCAGGGCCTGGGCCTGGGGGCCAGTTCAGGACACCTACCCAGACACTGAGAGCTGTGTGCCCACTCCCTCCCGCCTCAGAGCAGGGCAGGACAGAGCCTAGGTGACCAACACAGCTGAGCTGGCATGGGAAGTGTCATCCATTGTTCCTGGGGTAGGCCAGTGGAAAATTATTACCAGTTCTCCTCCACTCCCCAACCAAGGAAGAAATGGGGAGGAACTGTGACTCCGAGGTGCCTCTCGGAGCGCCTTCTGGGCTCTGCAGCTGGCCTCTTGCTCAAGGCAATGCCTGACAATACAGCCTGTCCCTGGAATAGCATTCATTAATGGTTCCCAAGTTCTGATTAGAAAAAAATATTGCAGTGAGAACACAGGGGTCAAATTCAGGCCAGGTGTAAAATAGTGCCACTCCATCAACGTCAATGGAGTCACCCCTGACTGACAGTGGGGCAGAATGCAGCTGCTTTGGGAGGCAGCAGGATTAGCATGGCATAAAAACTGGCCTGATTTGTCCCATAAGCTTCTCCAGCATCCTCTTCCATGACCCGGATAAAGAGCTTTCCCTTTGCGGAGGGGCGGAGTGCAGAAAAGGCACAGCACTCTCATGCTGTGAACAGTCCCTACGTGCTTAGCGTGATGGAAACCTTGAAGCTGCTGCCTCGTTTGCATTGTACTGGAGGGGGTTTGTGTTACTGCAGTCGGATATATGTAACCCTTGAATCCCAGCTGCAGTATGTGTGCCCCTCAGACAACATGGGGAATGGGCGTCAGTTTGAGGCAGCAGAGTTAGGTGGGAGAGGAGTCAACCAGACTCTGGAACACTGAAATCTGGGCCTGATGGCGCATATGACATGGGGAGGAAGGGGAAGAAGAGACTGGAGAGGCTGTTCTCCTGGTGCCTGCAGGAGGTCAAAGAAGGCAGGAAGCTGCCTCTCCCATTTGTCTCATTTGTAAAGCTCTAGCATCTCTGAGAAGCAACAGTCTCCCCCTCCGGGGGCTCTGACCCTTGTCTTCCTAACTACCCCATCCCCCAGTGGGCTTGCCATGGGGATCACACTATGGGGAGAAGGGTTTTACAGGCAAGCCTCATCCACGACAGTGTCTCTAAAGCTTTGTGCTTCGGTGCAAAGCTTTTAAAGCCTGACACACTTGTGCCTCGTAGGGGTAAAAATACCAAGACTCATCTCAGAGCTGCCAGTTCTCTTTCAACCCAGAAATTAACTAACAAGGCAATTGGGCCTGGATGGGATTCTGAACTCCCGACATTGTCTCCTCCTAAGAATACAAATCTGTTTTACCAGTGCTGCATCTCTATTGTCAAGGAACAATCAACCCCTTGACTTCCTCTCTGTGGTGTATGGAAAACGATATTAAATTGTGTAGCTATCACTTTAAATCCCAGAGGTTTCCTGGTCCTGCTTGCCGGCTAGGGCACTGTGTAGGGAAGGGTGAGATCAGAGTCAGTCTGCAGCCAGGTAGCCCATGGTAAGGTGGGGTGAGTTATGCCTCTGTTTTATGGAGCAGCCTGCTTTATCTTTCTCTGTTTTTGGCTAGAGTGGGTTATCATTCTGGATAAAGAATAAAGTTGTGTTACGTTGCAACCTTCCAGCAAGAATATTTGTGTTTTTATCTCACTTCTTTGTGTGTGCATGTTGTAAACATAACACTCCTAACCAAAAACATGGCAGAGATCCAGACGCAATTTCTGGTCTTTCAACACAGATCTGTTCCCTTCCCTCCTCCCCCAAACTTTTCACACTAGCTCTGTTACAATGGAAACTGTGGAGTTCACATTATAAATCCTGCATCAGCATGACAGAGAAAGAGAAAAACAGCAGAGACACAACCAATCAGCACTGCCAGCTCCAAGTATTTAAAAATAATGAAATTGGCTGAAAATTAATGAGATTTTTTAAAAAATAATACATTGGGGGGGGGGAGGGGTTTGGTTTTTTTTTTTGTCTTTTGGTTTCTGAGCCTTTGGGATTCACTCAGGTCACATTTTGAAGCTTTTTTCTGCAACCATGAGTGCTAAAAACGTACTGCTTGTTTTCAATCCAAGATGAGATTCTCAGCTAATCCCATGCCTCCTGCAGCTGGGGCCTTCAGAAACACACCACACATCACAGGGGTTCTCAAACTGGGGTCGTGACCCCTCAGGGGGTCACAAAGTTATTATATGGGGTGTCACAAGCTGTCAGCCTCCACCCCAAACAGCGCTTCACCTCCAGCATTTATAATAGTTTTAAATGTAAAAAAAGTGTTTTTAATTTATAAGGGGGGGTCGCACTCACAGGCTTGCTGTGTGAAAGGGGTCACCAATACAAAAGTTTGAGAACCACTGAGTCGTATTATGAGACTCATGACAAAATCTGTGGCCAGATACAGAAAGGCAGCATGGCGGTAAGCAGATGTCTCGCATGCATTTAGCTCAGAGGGCAGGGATAAATTTCTCCAAGCAGGGCTTGTGCCTTCCCATGTGTGGGCAGTACCTTGCGCATTGTGCTGCTCTCAAAATACATATAATAAATAAATAAATGTATGAGCCTTTGGTGGTGAAGCTACTGAGTTTGATCCTTGTTGAGGACTGTGGTATCTGTACAGCCATGGGTCATTACAAGATGGCACTCAGATATGGGGCTTGAATTCCTTTGGGTCACACATTTTTGGCTAGAGTAGGTCAGAAAAACCTAGACAAAACTATATTCCGTTAGCAAATGCAGTTCCACTAAAATTGAAATACTTCACAAAATCAGGTCAATTTCACTGTAATTCATTTCAGAAGAAACCCAGGAAAAAAAGTTCCAACAATGCTGAAATGGAACTAAACATTTCATTTTTTTATTTGGAAACAACTTTTTGGTTTGCCCTTTTAAAATTTCATATTATATTATATCATAAGGAACATTTTAAAAAATGTCAAAATCAAAATTTTCATTTTTTGTTCTGATTCAGAATGAAGCCAACTTTCAAAATCTCAAAATCCTTCACAAATGGAATTTCCATCCTCCCCACAGCTCTACTTTTGACTAGCTTATTTAACACACGGGGGGGGGAGGGGGAGAGAGACCTTGTCACCCTCTGTGGTCAGACCCCGTTGGACAGCTTACCACTTACAGAGGAATTTAGCTCAAATGACAGAATCTTGTGATTGTGGTGCTGAAAGTCAGGGTTTGATTCTCTCCCCCCAAAAGGGTGCCACCTATCCAAGTTTTCCTACACCAGGTCCCTTTTTTGAGGTAGCTGTCCCAGATGAAATGGTTCAGGTGTCCCATTTTTTTGTATCTCAGAGATGGCAACCCTATCCCCCATTAACTCCCCCCACCCTTTGCAGTGTACTCACTTTAATCAACTGGCTGAACTATTCAGGCCCAGTGGAAATAGTCAGGATTCTCCGCCAGCGATTCCGGTTTCTTTTCACATGTAACTATTACATAATAATGCATACCTATGAGAGAGAGACAGGGAGGGAAACGTGTTATATTAATGCCACTGCCCCTGGCATTCATTGCACTTACCGAGGAGTCATCCCAGAATTCATAGGAATCAAAGGAATTCTGGAACTTGTAGGACAGGCACCATTAGAAATGTAGGCTGGGAGCAAGGCTTGCTGGGAAGATAGGGAGTGGAATAAAAGCCAAGGTATGCTCTCAGTGTAGAGGTGACCTTGAAAGTCTCTTTTCTTGGGGACAGTCTCTTAGGTCCCTCCAGGCAAGGGCAAACAGACAATGGGGGAGAAAAGACAGATGAAGATGGAGAAAAAGAAAATATGGATGATAAAAATAGATGGGAGGAAAGAGGCCAAATCAGAGAAAGTCTGGTCACTCACAGAGCTATACACAACGGGGCAGCTTTGCCCCAGCACCATCCGGATGCACAGCCACCACACTACAGCCACAGGCAGCAATGCAATCATGACTAAGGCTAAGATTTTGTCATGCATATTTTTAGTAAAAGTCATGGACAGGTCACGGGCAATAAAGAAAGGTCACGGGCTTCTGTGAATTTATCCATGACTTTTACTAAAAATATGCATGACAAAATGGGGAGCTGCAAGCTCCCCACACCATCCAGGGGAGCCTGGCTTGGAGCCGCAGTGTCCCTCCACCGCCCGCAGTGTCTCGGAGCTCTGGGACATCCCGGCAGCCCGCGGCAGCTCTGTGCTCTGGGGTACCTCGGCCACCCGCGGCGGCTTCATGCTCTGGGGCACCCTGGCCGGGGGACCCATGGGGGACCCATCGCCCACGGTGGCTGGGAGTTCGGGGTCTCCCCACTGCCTGGGAGCTCTGAGGCACCCCTGCCCTGGCTGGGAGCTGCGTGACACCCCTGCCCCCCGCCCTGGCTGAGAGCTGCGAGGCACCCCTGCTGCCCTCTGCAGCTGGGAGCTTGATCCCCGCAGTTCCCAGCTGCCAGGGCCATTGGGGGACCCTACAGCTCCCAGGCGCTGGGGCTCAAGTCACAGAGATCTCTGGAAGTCACAGATTCCGTGACTTCCGTGACCTCTGTGACAAAATTGTCACCCTAATCATGACCACCTCTATTTGCATGAGGCATTGCTATGGATTGAACACATGCCCTCTAGAGGGAAAAGGCAGCACGACTGAATTTTGTTCAGTAAGCAAAAGCCAAAAACACGAGACCAGTGATACCATTCAACCACCTGATACTGAGAGAGGAATTGCTTGTATTGGAATATAGACCCAACCTAAAATGTAAAATGTCATGTTTCAAGTGGGTTTCATTGATGGGCTTTAAAGTAAATTTCCTCTGTCAAGATGAAGATTCCAGAAGATAAGATGTTTGGCTTATAGCCCAGTTCTAAAATAGAAAAATTATTGCAAATGCCTCGTTTCTCAGAAGGAACTGGAGGTGATGAAGTGGAATATAATGTTTTATTTTTAATGTTGCTGATGAATGAATGTTGAGTGACTGGGCGATTGGCTAGTTTTCCCCCCTCCCAATTAGCTATTTTTATAGGATATTTATATTGAATTTTACATAAACTGGTGATACAATATAATCTCGAGATTTTTTCACCCAGATAAGACCATGTTAACTTCCTCAGACATGGTCTTTTTCTTTTCTTTCTTTTTTTAAGCTCAGAGACATCTCGGGCCTTTTTATTCTTTTTAATGTATGGTGTGAAAGTGAAAGTGTGGCTGCGAGAATGCAGGTGTGTATGAGCACCCATACAACCCACATGGGCAAGGTGCCTGAAATAAATGTTCCCCAGGTTTAAACAGTCCTAAATGATGTCTCGTAAAATTACTCCCTAAAGTGTGTTCTGTGTTTTATGTTTAAAAATCCTGAGAGACTTCAGGTTGTCCTCTGCAATTTCTGGAAAATGCACTGTCAAACTTCTAGTTATCAAAAATATTCCATTCAAGTCTATGCTATAATTAGGGCTACGATTTTGTCATGGAGGTCACAGAAGTCACTGAATCCGTGACTTCCAGAGACCTCCGTGATTTGAGCTCCCAGCGCTTGAGAGTTGTAGGGTCCCCCGCCATCCTGGCAGCTGGGAACTGTGGGGGCCAAGTTCCCAGCTGCAGAGGGCAGCAGGGATGGCCTGCAACTCCCAGCTGGGGTGGGGGCCAGGGGTGCCCCAGAGCTCCCAGGCAGCAGGGGGCAGGGGTGCCCTGGAGCTCACAAGCAGTGGGGAGACCCCGAGCTCCCGGCCACCACGGGCGGCAGGGAGATCCTGAGCTTCTGGTCACTGTGGGCGGCTGGGGTGCTGGGGTGCTCCTGAGCACAGAGCAGCCGGGGTGTCCCGGAGCTCCGAGCCAGGCCGTGGAGGGACACTGCAGCTCTGAGCCAGGCCCCCCTGGGTGATGTAGGGAGCCTGGAGCTCCCCATTTTGTCATGCATATTTTTAGTAAAAGTCACGGACAGGTCACAGTCTTCCATGAATTTTTCTTTATTGCCTGTGACCTATCTGTGACTTTTACTAAAAATATCCATGACAAAATCTTAGCCTTAGCTATAATCATCTCCGGTGGGGAGAGGAAAGGGTTAGCCACCACATAGCAATTCATTTCCAAGGTTGTGGTCCAGACATAAGATAATAATTTGGTTTCATATTAAGCTACTTAACCATTCAAATGATAGATCTGATTGATTTTGGGCACATTCTTTAGTTGGATTTATAAGCAAACAGCCACTTTTTTAGAATTTGTCTAAGGACTGATTATTGTTGGCATTACTGAGTCTAACTTGTTTGGTTTGTTGATTTCACCTTGACTGGACAGTTGTTTTGCTTTATTCTTAGTTTAGTTTAATATTATTAACAGTAGCTTAGCTTTGGTGATAAAGTTCCTTTGCTTTTATCTTTGTTTAAGCGTTCTAAAAAAATTTATAAACAATCATATTTCTTTTAACAAGCAATCTGGGTCCAGATCCCTTTGAGACCTGGGATAGATACCAGCCAGTCAACCTAAAATCCTGTCCTGCTCCCCTAATAAGCCTATGGTTCTCATAGGATATACCCTGGATACACATGACGGGGAGGAGAAGGGAGGTGGGGGCCACAGATGAATAAAAAAATCAGAGAACAGAAAGGAAGCAAAGAAGTAGCAGGAAGGTTCTCAGAGGGATGTCAAAGAGTTTGTCTGACTGGAGACATGATGTTTTACAGGCCTCAAGAGTTATTTCAGGACCTGCTGGCATCCTGAAAGATAAGCCTGGAAGAACCATGACTGCTGCCCAACAAAATTAGAGCGGTTCCAGAAAGAGAGAGCGAGAGATGGAACCTGCAGCGTGAGGTCTGCTGGATAGGTTTCTGCTCTACACTGGGGTCAGTTTTAATCTGGGCTGTGCCCCTTTACAGGCAGCCTCCCACTATATATAACATCATTTAAAATGTTTGTTTCCAGATACTGGGGAAAAATCCTACCAACTGCTCCAGATACGCACTGAGAAAATGTTCTTTGGTCAAGTGGTCTGCGATCCAACAGCACTGGGTTTGTTGTGATCGGAGCAGCTGGCAGGCTGTCATTGGCACGGTCCCCAGGGGTGGCCCGTCCATATAGACGAACTAGGCGGTCGCCTAGGGTGCCAAGTTAAATGGGGGGAAATTAGAGGGAAAAAATCAAATGAAAAAAAAATTGAAAAAAATACAAATAAAATAACAAAGATGTCATTATTTCAATTCCCATGTGCGTATGGAGGGAATATGAATTATAATTCATTTCTCTACGTTTCTGAGAATTTATTAATATGTTAAATCTTTAATTTACTGCAAAAATAAATAATATTTTAGCGAATTTTTTTTTTCAATTTGTGACACAGGATCAAGATGACACTCCGCAATTTTGATAAGCAATAACTCAGCCACAATGAAACACATCCGCCAGTGGCAAGAGCTGCAATGCTAGTGACACCTAACTCAAATATACATCAAGGTCTCATAGCTGGAAATTCATGTAGAGTGGAGGTATCGCGAGTTGATACATGTCAAATGGTCATTTTAACACACATCGCAGGTAGATGGTTAAGAATCAAGCGAATACCGTGGAAAATTGTGTTTCTTGGTGCCAAAGAATAAAGAATAACATCTTTCAGCATTATAAATCCAAAATGTGAGTATCTTTAAGCGTTATTATCGGGCTGTATAATTATGAACTTTTCTTTGTTATAACTGGTTCACACGTAATAAATAAGGTCTATAAAAGTAACAGCGTTAACGCGTAATAGACTACGAAAGTGATGACGTCACACTCCAAGCAGGTAACTGTGAGGAAGGGGATTTACTTTCCAAACAACCGGTGTCGGGTTATAACGTCGAAAAAGGTCATTTTGTTGCCGTGTAAACGCTGTAACTAACCGTTTTAATAGGTAAGTGAGTGTATGTTACTAATCATTGAACCTTTAAGCAGTGAAAAGATGTGTTGGGATGGCTGCAATGTGGTTTAAATCACCAACCATGTGGTGCGTGTGTCAGCCATTCTTAACGCTATAATGCTTACAGTCGGGAGCACAGTACATAACAATATTCAAATGCCCAATGGCAGAAAGAGGAAAAAGAAAAGCCTCAGGAGCTGAGTATTGTAAATGAAAGGCTGAGAAGGAAAAGGATCAAGCAAAACAGCAGGGATCCTTCCTGAAATATCTTCTCTTTAATCCAAATAAAGATGGAAGCAGTACACAGCATCCAGATGAAGGAATTTTACTTGGAGGGGAGGTTAGCTCACATCCGCATGGAAGCAGTTTGGAACATCAAGATGAAAGTATATTACTTTGAGATGAGGGTAGCTCACATCCACAAAAAAGCAGTTTGGAAACTCAAGATGATGGAAACTTACTTCTAGATGAAGGCAGCTCATAGCATCAGACTGATAGGGAAGTGGAGAAAATTTATTCACCTTCAGAGACACATGCAGAAATTGAAGTAAATGAAG